AAATCCCTGAATGATATGTTTGTGAAGACATATGGCCATTTATACATGCAAAATTCTGAGCTATTTAAAGATCTCTTCGTAGAGTTGAAGCGTTACTACGTGGTGGGAAATGTGAACCTGGAAGAAATGTTGAATGACTTCTGGGCTCGCCTCCTGGAGCGGATGTTCCGCCTGGTGAACTCCCAGTACCACTTTACAGATGAGTATCTAGAATGTGTGAGCAAGTATACGGAGCAGCTGAAGCCCTTTGGAGATGTCCCTCGCAAATTAAAGCTGCAGGTTACTCGTGCATTTGTAGCAGCCCGTACTTTTGCTCAAGGCTTAGCGGTTGCCGGAGATGTTGTGAGCAAGGTCTCCGTGGTAAGCACTCTTGTCTTCTCTGTTTTTGTTTCTGTTTTGTTTTGTTTCATATTAAAAGAACGTTTGGGAAAGGTAGAAAAATAAATCACCAGAATTCTGTTGGCTCAATAGCAGCCTTTTCTTCCTCTCTTACCTCTTCTCTCCTACACTTTGTCCTTATACATATACATTTTAGAGTTACTAAACAATACTGTGATCAGACTCTTCACCCATCATTTTTATTGTGGTTTCTTTTCTAGCTATTCTTAGAAGGGGAAATGTATATTTACTCAGGAATCTTCATTTTAAAAGTGGGTTAATACTGCCATACCCATTTTAGCTCTTATTCTACTTCCTTTCTACAGAAAGAAACATACACACACAGGCTCCACATTTGGTTGTTTCGTGTGACTATGAGCCTACTGGTTACAGTCTAGAAAAACATTTAATCCCCATGAACATGTGTTTCCTTGTTAGGAGGTGTACTCTGCTCTTTGGAAGATAGGTTTCTATGGCAATTAGTGTGTACCATACTGCTGTTGACTCATGATTTGTAGGATTACTAATACAGAAAGTGAAATTGTAATATTTGACCAGGAACTGATGAAATGAATCTGTTTCCTCATTGGTAAATTCAGTGAATTGGTCTAGATAGACTCTGTTCTTTTATTTTCTTCTTCTTCTTCTTCTTTTTTTTTTTTTTTTTTTTTTTTTTTTTTTTTTTTTTTTTTTTTTTTCTGAGACAATTTCTTGCTCAAATGCCCAGGCCAGAGTGCCGTGGCAGGATCTCAGCTCACTGCAACCTCCACCTCTGGGGCTCAAGCGATTCTCCTTCCTCAGCCTCCCTGTAGCTGGCTAAGTTTTTGTATTTGTCAGTAGAAACGGGGTTTTACCATGTTGGCCAGGCTGGTCTCGAACTCCTGTCCGCAAGTGATCCATCTGCCTTGGCCTTTCAGAGTGCTAGGATTACAGGCGAGAGCCACCGTGCCCAGCTGATAGACTCTGTTCTTGAGCAGGATCTTGCTCTAAGGGCCTCCATGAGCAGAAGTAACAGAGAAGGAAGTCTTTTGTGGGTGAGACCATGCAACCGTGGCTTTACCTCCCAGTTCTACCAGAGAATCTTTGCTTTCTTTGATTTCACACAGTAGGGATCTGAGCAAGATTTCAAGGGGAAAAGGGTTCCCACTGCTCCTTCACTGCCACTCCCCTGCCCCAAATGAAATCTGAAAACTTCTCTAAGACCTTACCACCTCTACCTTTCCAAAAGTCGATACCAGGGAAGAAACAGAAATATACTGGGGCAAAGTGATCTTTTCAAGGCTGATAGTGCTGTCAACTTTAGGCCCTCAAAGGGAAAGCCAAGTTGTAGGCCGGTGCTAAAAAGCCTGGATGCACAGTGACAGCAGATTCTGCTGAGGTGATTTGGTTGTTTTGAGGACTGGAAGAATGGACAGCATAAAAACTGGACAGCACTACAGACATGAAAATAGCCACCTGATTGCCTCTCAGAGTTCATCTACAGTTAGGGTGACCATATAATTTATTGTCCCAACAGGACACTTATTGTCTAAACCAAGAGGTGCTTATTAACAAATTAGTCACAGACAACAGGTGTCACTAATTGTTTTTTGAGATGCAGTCTCATTCTGTCACCCAGGTTTGAGTGCAGTGGTGAGATCTTGGCTCACTGCAACCTCCACCTCCCAGGCTCAGACGATTCTCCTGCCTCAGCCTCCCTAGTAGCTAGGATTACGGACATGTGGCCACCACACCCAGCTAATTTTTGTATTTTCAGTAGAGATAGAGTTTAACCATGTTGTCCAGGTTGGTGTTGAACTCCTGACCTCAGGTGATCTGCATGTCTCAGCCTCCGAAAATGCTGGGATTATAGGCATAAGCCACTGCGCCAGCCAGGTGTCAGTAATTGTTAATAAGTAACCGTGACTGTCGTGGAGTGGCCAGGATACTTGGGTGACTCTAGTTACAGAGAAAACTTATGTTCACCAGAGTGAAGATAAAGATTCTAAAGAATGGTTTATTATGAAAATAGGTGCTCATAGGGTTTTTCATATTAGAATTGGGTGATAATAAGGATTAGTTCACTGATTGCATACATAATGTTGGTTGTTCTCTCTCTCATCTCCAGGCCATCAACTGGCAGTAAACAATTTTTTCTAGTATGTTTTTGTTCACTCCTTATTTGATATTTTCATCATAAATTGCAAATATTTGTTGAGGCATATGATGGTAGAGTTGAGGGTAGGTGGGGAGATGATTGTTATAATTAAGGAAATAATATCTGATTCTTGAACCTTTGCCAACCCCAGCAACCATTGTTAATCTTGGACCTACTTATGTCAGAGTCCCTAACATAGTGCACAGTGAATCCAGATCAAAGATGTTTGCATCGTGGTACACCCAGCACATTTGCCCTCCTTCAACAATTCCTCATGTTCATCCTCCACTGAAAGGGCAGAAGGACACTGCCATGTGATTTGGACATCTGTGCCTGCATGTGCACGTGTGTGTGTGCACTCGTGCCAAAGAGAAGGGCAGAGAGTCAAGAGCTCTTTGCTAGTGTTTGAAAAGTGCTTTCTTTATGTTAACTCTCTCCCCTTTGAGTTCAGTGCTGACTTGGAGAAAAAGGGCCAGACACTGACTCAAGCCTGCCTTGGTGTTGGCCTCACTTTGCAAGGTTGGAGCTCCCTCGGAGAACTGAGATTCTGAGATTCTGGAACTTGTAAACATGGATGGGAAGGGTATCCATACCAAAAAGTTTAGAGGCAATTGATTGCAGTTAGAGGATTGAAGGCTAGAAAAGGCTTGCCTTTGTTTCACGTCTCCCCACCTCCCAGGTAAGGGGAAGTAGCAGTTGGGCCTTCCCTGTGTTGCATTCTTCTGGACATTGTTCTCAGAATTAACTGCGGGAAACCAAGAAGCTTGACTTCGATATGTAAGATTCAGACACCCTTACTTATGCAATAAAGATATGTGACCCAATGTGAAATAGTCACAATCACTTTTTCTTTATCCTCTCTTTTTAAAAAGAGGCAGGATCTCACTCTTTCACCCAGGCTGGAGCACAGTGTCATGATCATAGCTCACTGCAGCCTCGATCTCCTGGCCTCTGGCAATCCTGCTGCCTCAGCCTCCCAAGTAGCTGGAACCACAGGCATGTGCCATCACGTAATTTTTGTTAATTTTTTGTTTTATTTTTTGTAGAGACAGTCATGTACTATGTTGCTCAGGCTGATCTTGAACTCCTGGCCTCAAGTGATCCTGCAACCTCAGCTTCCCAAAACACTGGGATTACAGGCATAATAACTTTCTGTTGTTGCTTTTGGTATGAGTTTTTGTTAATAGAAAAAGATGCCCTGTCCACCTTAGTATTGTTAAATTCTTTGAGAAAGTTACTTTTTTTGGGGGGGACAGAGTTTCTTTCTTGTTGCCCAGCCTGGAATGCAATGGCACAATCTCGGCTCTCCACAACCTCTGCCTCTTGGGTTCAAGCGATTCTCCTGCCTCAGCCTCCTGAGTAGCTGGGATTATAGGCATGTGCCACTGCACCCAATTTTTTATTTTTAATAGAGATGGGGTTTCTCCAAGTTGGTCAGGCTGGTCTCGACTCCTCACCTCAGGTGAGCCACCATGGCCGGCCTTGAGAAATTTACTTTCTAAATATAACCCTAACGATTTTTTTTTTAGGCTTGATCTCTATTATATAGTCATTGTATTCTCATGTCAGCCTAAGAGATACTTGTGTAGTTTTATGAGTATACAGTGAATAGGAGCAATATGGATGAGTTTACATAGAGTAAAACATAACTTGTCAATGGTTTAGTTGAAAATAAAGTTTTGTGGCTACTTTAAGTATTGTGGTCACAATTGGGAATGTCTAAAAAAGATAATGTTTTTGCTTCACCACTGAGCTTCTAAACTTAAGGACTGACATGAAATCAAACCCTTTAAGTTATAGTATCTAAATGAATAAGGACCATAGGCATCAAATCAGTTTATAAAGGTGCTGAATCAAGAATTCTATAAATATCAACCATCTGTTGAATGCATCTATATACAAGCATGCAAGGCATACTTGCATACCTGAGAAAATATTTATTACATTAATTTTTGGAATATGACAACCAGTTAAAAAATTTGAGATACAGTGGTGTAGGAAAGACAATAAAGGATCTGGCTATCAAAAAACATTTCAAAATCAACATGTTGAAAAATTCGTTTGATTAATTTATAAATAAGATTCTCTACCAG